AGGCACTTGACGCCCCACTCCGCTTGACACATTTCTCCTTTTTTTTGGTTTTGTTTGTTTGTTTGTTTTGTTTCTTTTTTTTTTTTTTTTTTTTTTTTTTTTTGAGACAGGGTTTCTCTGTAGCTTTGCAGTCTGTCCTAGAACTAGCTCTTGTAGACCATGCTGGTCTCAAACTCACAGAGATCCTCCTGCCTCTGCTTCTCCAGTGCTGAGACTAAAGGCATGCACCACCACCGCCTGGCAACACACTTATTTTCTAACACTTACTACTTAAGTTAAGATTAGCAATAATGATGCTGTGGAGACTTGGCTCTTTTTCGATCTTCATTGAAATGTGAATACAGAACAAAGCAGAGTAATTTGATGGAGCTGGCTTGGAGAGACCACACTGAGGCTAGGATTTATGTCTTCCTTTTGCAGAGATGGTAAATGGTGTCCAGGGAGCCAAGTCTGGCCACACACACTCGTTTGGTCTTGTCTGTGGTTGCTACAATGACAGAAACCAAAAGGCTTGCCAAGCCTAGAGACCTTTACTCTCTGGATCTGGTCAGGAAAGCCTGGCTGACCTACACACTTGCTATTTTAATAATATATTGCCTTGGGACTAGTATTTCCCTGTGCCTGAAAGTTTCTAGCCAACTCAGAGCTCAGCTGAATTCAGTTCCAAATGCCAGAACTGAAGAGCTAGTAAGTCAGGTATATGCCTCTGGTGGAGGCAGGAGGACTAGAAGTTCAAGGTCATCCTGGAATGCTAAGGGAACTCTAGGGCATTTCAGGATATGTGAGGCCCTGTCTCAAGACAAAATAAAGCCTGGAAATATGGCTCAGCAGTTAAGAGCACTTGCTGCTTTTCCAGAGGACCTGAGTTCAGTTCCTAACTCCCATGTTAGATGGGAGCTACCACCTGTAGCTCCAACTCTGTGGGATCTGGCCCTCTTCTTTTGGCCTCTGCAGGTACCCATACACAGGTGCATAAACACAGAGAGATACATGGAGAAAACTAAAATTAGGAGAGTAAATATGAACTGAATGAGTACTCACTTCTTTTCTTTAAAAAATGAAAAATAAAGAGCTGGAGAGATGGCTCAGCAGTTAAGAGCACTGGCTACTCTTACAAAGGACCCAGGTTCAATTCCCAGCACCCACATGGCAGCTGGTAGCTCACATCTGTCTGCAGTTCCAGTTCCAGGGGATCTGGCATCCTCACACAGACACACATGCAGGCAAAACACCAACGTATGTAAAATAAAAATAAATAAATCACTAAAAAATTTTCTTTGGGGAGAGTTGGCCAAAAACAACACCATTGAGTGCCTCATTTCAGGGCCTGATGTCATATGACTTGTTTATGTGGTCCTTTGGGGAGTTCCGGGGCATCAAAGCCTCTGTCCACTGAGAAGAGAGCCACCCAGCGCATCCCCAGAGGCTCCCTGACCCCTGTGCACAGCCTCCCTGTGAGCTGGCTAGAAGTCATTCTTGGAGTGGTGTGGAGGGTAACTGCTTGCTGCCAGGAAACTGTCCATCCTTCCTGCTTTCCCAGCAACCCTCACTCCAGGCTGCTGACCTTGGATTTCCCAAACGGTTTAAACAAAACCAAATGGGAAAGTACATTCCTAAAGGAAATTCTTGGCAGAAAATGGAAGAAAGCTCCAGCACATAAAAATGATTACATATGCATCTTCCCTCTTTTATACTCTTTTATTTTCCTTTCTCTCCCTCCCTCCCTCCCCCTCCCTTCCTTTATTCTTCCTTTCCCTCTTTCCTTCCTTTTCTCCCCTCCTTCTACTTTTTGTTTTGATTTTTGAGACAGAGTTTCTGTGTATCCCTGGCTGTCCTGGAACTCACTCTGTAGACCAGACTGGCCTTGAACTCATGGCAATCCACCTGCTTCTGCCGGGATTAAGGGCATATGCCTCCAGCACCTAGCCTTCTTTCATTTTTGAGCCAGGGTCTCACATAGCCGAAGCTGGCTGCAAACCCATTGTGTAGCTGAGGGTAACCTTCAACTTCTGATCCTCCTGCTTCTACCTCCTGAGTGGTGGCACTTACAAGTTTTATTTTTATATTTCTTTGTGCGTTTGTGCACATGCTCGCTCGTATGCTTTGGTATGGGTATGGAGATTGGAGGACAACTTCCAGGAGTTGGTTCTTCCTCCCCCACTCCATGTGGGCTCCAGTGTTTGAACATAGGTTGGTGGCAAGTGCCTTGACCTGATGAGCCACCTCATTGGTCCAAGTTTTATTGTGATTATTACCACACTATCCTGTTAATATATTACTGAGGGTGTAACCCAGGGCTTAGTGCATGGTAGGTATTGTACCAACCAAAATACAACTTCAACTCTTTTCTCTCTTTTTTTAGGTCTCACTATGTATCTCAGTCTGGCCCCAAACTCTTCCTGCCTCAGTCTCCCACATTCCTGGGTTGCAGGTGATTGCCACCTGCTGTGGAACAGTCTTTGTACACTGTAAATATGTATTATTATTATTATTATTATTCTCATTGGTTCATAAAGAGCTGACTGGCCTATAGCTGGCCAGGAAGAGATTGGGTGGGAGAGCCAGGCTAGGAGGACACTGGGAAGAAGGGCGGAATCTGAGGAGTCTTGAGAGACACAGAAAGAAGCAAGATGTGTATGCCTCTCGGCAGGTGCTCATCAAGGTGTTCAGTCATTGGTCTAAGTCTGCAAGTCATCTTGGATTCTAGGAACGGCAGAGATTCACAGCATAGACACCCACCCACAAGCCCCTGGGGGCAGTTGTCCATGATAGCAAGGCCCACAGCTGGAGCAGGAGTAACCCTATTCAGCTTGTCTCGAGCTAGGATTTCTTTGGACCACCTTACAGAAGCAAAACCAAGGCAACCCGCACTTGACGGGTGATGCTTCATTACGCATATCTCTTCTCCGCCCCAACTCATCATCTACTTAAACCTCAAGCTCATGTCAATTATCAGATACACTTGGAGGTAACAGGACTCCTTTGCCATCTCCTCTTCCCAATGTGGCCGTGAGACCAGTGACAGAGCTTGTTGGAGCTGCTGAAAGATACAGGACTTTTTTTCTGAGGGAACCTCCCCCCAACAGAGGTCACACGGTCACTGAGTCACTGAGTTGTGTTGCCTCAAGTGGGTCATCTGGGTAGCTGGGTAGATCCTTCTGGAAGAGCCAGTTTCCAGCTGTGTCCTGGTGCCGGGGTAATGATGCCATCATGGTGAGGTCATCTAGAGTTGCAGGTATGGATTCTTTTTCTCTGTCCAGGTGAAGAGAATAACAAAGCAGGAAAGGCAAGGACTCTGCAGTCTGCCAAGTTGTACTGAAGTCACATACACAGCAAAAGACACAGACTCCCCGCCAGTGGAGAAGGGATTCAGAAATCCAGCCTTCAGAAGGGCTTGAGTCTTTTAGTGGTATAGGGTGGATCTCCATCTCCTTGTTTCTGATAACCCATAGCATTATGAAAGCTGAGACATGTCTGGTCATGTCTAAGTGAGACGGGGACCCTGCTTGTGGGGGACAAGGGGGTAAGGGGGTGCTCTTGTCCTCTACCTATAGGGCTTCTTTGCCAACCTGTCGGTAGGCGCTATCATTCATTGATCTTAATGGTTCCTATTTGGGGTTTGTTTTTTTTTCCCTTTATGTTTTTGTTTGTTTGTTTGTTTGTTTCCTCATGCAACCCAAGATGGATTTAAACATGCTACTTAGCCAAGGCTGTCCTTGACTCCCTAGCCTCTTGCCACCACTTCCCAAGTACTGGGATTACAGTGTGAGTCACCAAGCCCAACCCTATTGTTGTTATTATTATTATAGAGTTGAATTCTATTATTATTATTATTATTATTATTATTATTATTATAGATGAGTTGAATTCTCAGAAATCCTATCTAGTCTCCCAAGTTGCTGCGATTAAAGTGTGAGCTACCAAGCCTGTGCTTTTTGTTTTGTTTTTAATTCAGATTCCTGTGTGAGTCGACGAAAAAAGCCTAGCACAGCAGCCATGCCCTTGTGGTTCAAGAAGGGTCCGCCACGTTGTTTCGGGGCCCAATTTCCTTCTTCCACATCGGCCTGTGCCCTCAGCTCTCCTCAGCGCATCCTCAGAGACAGCCTGCCCGAGCCTCTTTTTTACTGTGGAGACAAGCCTGCCAGTACTGTCCGCTTGCCCAGGACTCGCTAGGCCAGTGAAGACAAGGTTGCCTGGAGCTTCGCACCCGCTAGAGAGTCAAGGCAAGCCCCACCAAGGCGCTGCCCCTTTGAACACGCTTCCTGCCAATCAGAGGCGGAGCCAGCGAGGACATAGCCAATGGCAGGAAGCAATTGGTGGTCGATCCTTGGGTGGCCGCGCCCCGGGACCAGCGCTGTCCAGAGCACCCGGAGTGCAGAGAGCGTGCCCGTTAGTTAGATGGCCAATAAGGGTCGGGCCGGTCGGCAAGCCGGCTGTCAGTGATCACTCTAGTTCAAAGTCTGAATGTGTATTCTCTATGGCCGGACCAGATTTTAACAATCAGGGCGGGGCTAATTGCACTCCTCCAATAGCAGATGGCGGCCGGGAAACACAAGTCCCGCTGCCCTAGGTAAGCAGCCTGGACCAAGGGAGGGAGCGCTCCCGTTAGTCAGAGAGCCAATCAGAGTGGAACAAGCCAAGCCTGCAACCAACAGCTACCCCGCCTCGAGGCCAAACGTATTTCCCTTCTGATTGGACGAGGCCCTTGCCAATCACAGCAGGAGCCTGTGAAATCTCGGCCAATAGCAAGAAGCGCCCCATTCCGATTTGCGGCGCAGGGTCCACGCGGTGGTTGCCCATCGAGGTCGGCGCTTGGTGATCAACTCCCCTCCGCCAAACCCTGGAGCGGGCGGGCGTCGCGCGCGCTTGTCAGTCAGAGAGCCAATCAGAGCCGGGTAGGCCAGTGGCCACTTCGGGGCAGGCCGAACTGTTTCCTCTCTGATTGGGCGAGCCTCCTGACAATCAGGGCGGAGCCAGCGAAGGTTTGACCAATAGCAGGAGGCGGCTGGGTCAGAGCAGCGACTAACTGTAGGCGCGGTGGTCGTTAGACTGTTGCGAGAGCAGCGCACGACGTCCAACCTGCGCGCAGGCCCTCGGCGACTGGCGCCCGCCGGCGGCCCTTCTCGCCATGTCAGGCACTGCTTGGCTTTAGTTCTTCAGGCCTCCGCCCACCCGCCTACCCGAAGCCGCGCCCACCGCCCAGAGCCAGAGGGATGGTGGTAGTCACCGGGCGGGAGCCAGACAGCCGTCACTCGGACGGTGCCATGTCCAGCTCCGAAGCCGAAGACGACTTCCTGGAGCCGGCCACTCCTACGGCCACGCAGGCGGGCCACGGGCTGCCCCTGCTGCCCCAGGAGGTACCTGGACCGAGCGATGGGGGAAGGGAGGACTGATGGGAAGCACGGGAGAGACTGGTGCTTGTAGAACTGACCTTGGGAGGTGAGCCTCCCGAGGAGCTATCCACCCCTGATGCCACTCCTGCACTAGGTGTGTCCTCCCTGCCCGGGGTCACCTGCATCCCGTGTGCCTCCTTCCCATACTCAGTAGCTACCAGGATGTGCAATTCCATTCCTGTATCCTGTCTCACCTTTATCAACTAAAGAAGGACTCCAGACTCATCAACACATAGCATGTTCCGTACAATCCAAAAGGAGGCCCTGGGTTGCCCAGGTGTGTTCTCCAGCTGACCAGGGAGTGGTGTAAGATAACCTATATGATGCTGTGGTATGGTTTAGGACACGCCCTAGTGGGCCGACCACTCCCATCCAGTTGCTTTCATGCAGTGAACAGCTTACACTACCACACGGGGCAATTTCATTTGCTAGAAGGACAGACATGAATGGTAGAGCACTCGGGGCAAAGGAAGCAGCATGAACAAGGACATAAAGGTGATAAATTCGTGAAATAGAAGGAGCACTTGAACTGTAGAGCAGAGACGGTGGGATTGGGGTCCTCATTCTTCTGTGGCTGTACTGTGGCACACTGTGGCTTCGTTAGTAGTCCTTCATGTGGGTGACACTTTGCACCCGAAATGATCCTTCAGAGAAACAGGAAGATGGATAAGGAAATGGAATTTCAGCAGACAGAGTTTTCTGAAGGGGCTGGCTGGGTGAGGCTCTCAGGCAGCAAATACTGTATAACTTTCTGTTAGGGTTAGAAGCCCTACATTGCCAGCATCGTAGAAAACTTGTGAAAATAAGTAAAAATCTACCCATAACTCTGCAGTTAGAGAAAAGAGCCAATAGAGATACAGTGGTGCTTTTTTTTTTTTTTTTTTTTTTTTTGTGCACTGTCATTGGGCAAAAAGATACGGTTTGAGGGAAAGGGCACACAACCCCACAGACTGCAGAGCAGGTGTTCAGTCCCAGCTTCCTATGAATCACACCCCTTCATGCGATATCTAGAACTCTTTTCAGTTTTTTTATTTTACATATTATGGTACAAAGAAGTGGGCTAGTATGAACTAATTCTAAAACAGGACTGCAGAAGTGCAAAGCATTATACCAAAGTGATATTTGAGCTTTGACATGTACACAGAATGGGGTTAGTTTCTGTAGGGAAAGCAGAAGGCAGTTTGCACTGTAAGAGTTGAAATTTGCTAGGTGTGATTGTGTAAACCTTTAATCGCAAAACTCCAGAGGTAGAGGCAGATGGATTTTTGTGAGTTCCAGGACAACCAGAGCTACATAAGTGAGACTCTGTCTCAAAAAAAAAAAAAAAAAAAAAAAAAAAAAAAAAAAAAAAGAGTCGAGTTCATACTTAGAATTGTAAATCTTGTGTATTACATTAATTGATTTTGTGGATTTTAGTTTTTACTGTAAGGCAGGTCTTAGGTAAATAAGTTTTCTTTCATCATTTGTATCTTTTATTTTTTTCATGGGATAGAACCTCTCTTTGTGGTCCTGATTAGCTTCTCTCTTACTATGTAGAACCAGGGTGGCCTCACAGAGAGTATCCTGCCTCTGCCTCCCAAGTGTTGGGACCAAAGGTGTATACCACCATGCCTAGCTGTGTTCTCTTTCTTTCTTCCTTCCTTCCTTCCTTCCTTCCTTCCTTTCTTCCTTCCTTCCTTCCTTTCTTCCTTTCTTCCTTTCTTTCTTTTAACAAAGGATTTGTGGAAACTGGGGGAAAGGACCATTTAGACAAATATATAGACCTTAGACTTTCACCATAGCTAGAGTGATGTTATAACATTGAGAGAGAAATAATACTTCTGCTGGGATAAAATTTGAGTTGATTTGGAGGTGGTCTGTGGGAAAGTTAGACCTGGAAACAGTTCTTTTGTATATAGTTTGAAGAAAATAGAGCACTGAAAGATTTTTTTTACAATTCTCTAGCATGTCAGGAAGGGACCCTTATGGGTTCCAAGGCTAACTAACCTTTACCATCATTTCCTGTTCTCACTTTCCGCCAAAACCTTTAGCTGATTTTCAGACTAATCAATCACTATAGATTGAGCAGGAGAGGAATGGAGTGCAGTCGACAATGAGGATTGGGAGTGCTGAGAGTGAAGGTCGGCCACAGAGCTCCTGCATAGCATGTGAAGTCTCTGGATGAGAAAAAGGAATAAGGACCAGATGCCTCTGTGCATTCAAAAGCAGCTGTTGGTCTCCGTTCACAACTGGCAAGCACATGCCATCTTCACGTCTTTGGGATGCCTGGCATCTAGTAAAATGGATTGAGAGGGAAAAGATTGTCACTGTATTGGTCTAGGTGCTGGGACAGAGGAAAGTGTGACACATAGTGAAAGCCAGAATATGTACACAATTCTGTCTCAGGGCATGAGAAGGATGATAGAGCAGTACTGGTCACAGAGACTTAGAGAATAAACAAGTGCTGTTCCTGACCTGGTGCCTTGGTGTGAATTAGAAAAGGGCACACACACACACACACACACACACACACACACACACACACACACACACTCATCCAGGTGCTTACACAGTCAACAATCTATACTGCCACATTTGGCAATGTCATTTGCTAGCTGGACAGGAGGAAGCTAGTGAGAGTGTTTGTGCCCAAGGAGACAGCATGGATAAGGACATGGAGATAATTTGTTTGGGAAGAAGATGAGGAAATCTGAGCAGAGGTTGTGGGGTTGGACTGAAGAGGGACCGGATTTAAGAGCTATCAGCTGGGATGAACAGGACGTGGTGATTGATACTCAAGGAAAGAGAGAAAAAAAAAGTGTTCAGATGGTCTCTGAGTTTGGGATGACTAAGTGAATGGTACGACATTAATCAGACCTAGGCAGACTGCTCTGGAGGAGCCCACCTCTCTCGTTACTTTGTAAGTCTGAAAGCTGTGGTGCTTCCTTTCCAGTTTCCTGAGGTCATACCCCTTAACATTGGAGGGGCTCACTTTACCACACGCCTGTCCACCCTGAGGCGCTATGAAGACACCATGTTGGCTGCCATGTTCAGTGGACGACATTACATCCCTACAGACTCCGAGGGCCGGTACTTCATTGACCGAGATGGCACACACTTTGGGTATGCCTCTTCCTCTACAATCAGCTCCACAGTCATAGCAAGCAAGTGGCCTGGGGTCTCATCTTGGGTATTGGCATATGCCATGGTACCAGAGGAGATAGCTTAGTGGTGGGATTTAATAAATATTCTCAATGATTGGATTAAAATGCTTAGATGTTTTGCCAGAGGAGGTGAGTACAGCAAGAGAGAAAAAAAAAAAAAAAAAAAAAAACTTAAGACAGGGTTTCTCTGTGTAAACAGTCCTGGCTGTGTTGAAACTCACTCTGTAGACTAGGCTGGCCTTGAACTCAGAGATCCTCCTGCCTCTACCTGCCCTGCCAAGTGCTGGGACTAAAGGCGTGCAATACCACTGTCTGGCCAAGAAACTCCAATACTGGCAGGATTTTATGGAACTTTTTCTCATCCTGCTCAGTTTGAGACCTGGATATATATGTAATGCGCTTGGAGTCAGAGAATAGTAAAAAAAAAAAAAAAAAAAAAAAAAAAAAAAATCTTGGAGAAAATCTTTAGATTCTGGGACTCAATAATACCATGCAAGTTAGCATGGTGGCACTCAGCTGTAAGCCCAGCTCTTAAGGGGTGGGAGCAGGAAGATTGCAAGTGTTTCTAGGCCAGTGTGGGCTATATAACAAGACCCTGACTCAATACTCCCAACAAACACCACCACCTACTGCAACACAGGAGGTATGGCCTGTAACTGGTTCTGAGGCTTGCAGTGGTTCAAACAAGCAAGGTGAGAGAAAGGCTAATGCTGGTTTCTCCCCCTTCATTTTGTTAGGAAACCCTTAAAAAACACATACAAACACAAAAAAACTTGTTGTTACTGGGATTTTAACAACAACAATGCCTCATATACACACACCCCAAAGTCTCAATGTATTTGATGTGTGTGTGTGTGTGTGTGTGTGTGTGTGTGTGTGTGTGTGATTTGTGCACCTTCCCATGACTGTCTCAGTTTCATTGCAATTAAGATTTATTGTTATTTATGCATGCATCTCACTTGTGTGTGGATACCCTCAGAGACTGGAATAAGATGTTGGATCCCCTAGAACTGGAGTCACAAGCAGCTGTGAGCTGCCATGTGGTTACTGAGAACTGACCTGGGTCCTCTGGAAGAGCAGCAAGTATTCTTAGTTTCCTTGTTGAGATGAGAAATAATTGTAGCTGTCTGGTGGGCTTGTCGGTGAGGGTTAGTTAGATAAAGAGCCTGTGTGTGGCCTCAACTAGGTCACATCTTCAGAGCATGTAGCTAGCTAGAGTCCTCTGATCCTTCAGGCTAACTGTGGAGATGACTAGAGGATTGGCATGGCCTTTGACCTTGAACTAATGGCCTGGGAAGCAGAAACTCTTCAACTGATCTATATGTCTTTGTGTTGACCTCCAGTAAGGTTTGCCTACAAGGGTCATTTTTGTCCTTAGAAAGGAGCCTCTGGCCAAAAAATTTGTTTTGCAGTGTCTGGTTTTCCCCAGTGGGCTATCAGCTGCCTCTGATGGTGAGAAAACAAAGTGTCACATCACTCTGTAACTATAAAAAGATTTTTGTTTGCAGGCATTTGGGGAGGAAAGTGCTGGCCCCAGCTGGCAGCTCTTAGCTGGGCCTTGCCCAGGGTTCTGTTTGTCATAGCTCATAATGGTTTATTGAAGATCCCAGAGGACTGAATTGAAGGGGGTGGGAGTGGCTAGCGAGATTGGAGGTGAAGGTCCCAGCACCTCTCAGTCGCTTGTGACCAGTTCCAGGGGCTCTGCTGCTTTTGCCCTCTACACTGTGTCCGCACTCTGTGCACATACCCACACACTCCCACACGCCAGACAATGAAGACTAATAAAAACCTTCAAAAGGGTTGTGAGGAGGGAGAACAGGATCCAAATTGAGGCTTATATGCCAGTGCCCTGTTGTCCTTGACTGGAAAGTGGCAAAAAATATAACAGAAAGCAAGATGGAGTGGTATTCGTGCTTGGGCTGCTGGACTCCCATAGTCTGGAGTTTATGGAGTTTTTCAGAGATTCAAAGTATGAGTTCAGGGTATTAGGAAGGGTACACACATCTCTGCTGTTGTAGCTTATACATCGACACTACCACCATGGGGGCTGCTTGGGCCTCTGTGGGAATCCCTCCTTGTGCATACAGCACTTTGCTTGAGTGCTTCTAATGAAGTCAGGACCATTGTGGTTATAGGCTCAGCCAGTCGTGACTGGACTTGAGCTTTTGCCAGCTGTGGCTCCTTCAACAATTGTTTTCCATACCATCCTAGACCCCAGCTAGGCCTCACTTATAGGCAGGAACTAAGAGAGAGCCCGCTCTATGATGTCATTAAAAGGACCAAATGGGTGGCACATGATTAGTGGCTAATGAAGATTAATACTTGGTGTTAACCAGGTAGTGGTGGTGCATGCCTTTAATCCCAGCACTCAGGAGGCAGAGGCAGGTGGATCTCTGTGAGTTTGAGACCAGCCTGATCTACAAGAGCTAGTTGCAGGACAGCTTTCAAAACAATACAGAGAAATCCTGTTTCGAAAAAACAAAACAAACAAACAAAAAAAAAAACACAAGCAGATAACAAAAAAAGCACTGAATATGTACTTTAAGAAACTATATATGACTTTACTTAGTTGTGAAACCAGTTAATCCCCACATTGTTTGGTATTTTTGTCTTCATATAGCTACAGAATAATACTAATGGTAAGGATAGTGAGACAAGTGGAATCTTGTTGTCAACACTGCAAGCTACAATTATTCTATTATACTTTTATTGTTGTTTTTTGAGACAGGGTCTCTCTGTGTTGCCTGGTCTGTCCTGGAACTCACTCCGTAGTCTAGGCTAGCCTCAAACTCCGAAATCCACCTGCCTCTGCCAAGTGCTGGGAATAAAAGGAGTGTGGCGCCACCCCCCCCCCCAGTGGGGTACTGGGGTAATTTTCTTTCATTTTGTACGCGGTCACACCAAGGCACACAAAGGTCAAGTTCACTTAGCGAAAGTTATTCAATTGGCAATGTGGCCCAAATTCTGCTCTCGATGCCTGGATAGCCTCCCACCTTCCCCGTGGTCTTATTTCCTAATCACCCTTTTTCCTGCACAGAGATGTGCTGAACTTCCTGCGTTCAGGGGACCTGCCACCCCGGGAGCATGTGCGGGCTGTGCACAAAGAGGCCCAGTACTATGCTATTGGGCCCCTCTTGGAGCAGCTGGAGAACATGCAGCCACTGAAGGGCGAGAAGGTGCGCCAGGCCTTTCTGGGGCTCATGCCCTACTACAAAGGTAAGGGGTCATCTGCCCTGCACATTTGGGAAAGGGGGTGGCAAGGCATCTTTAAAAGCTCCCAGGCCTTTCCCAAAAGTGGGTGGGTCCAGCATTCATCCAGATTAGGAGAAAATGTTCCCTTCTTTCAGTGACACTGGGACTTTTCAAGTTGGGAAGGACACCCACTCCCTCAGCCTTCCAGAACAGCCAACAGATAAAATTTCATGGGCCATGTTGAAGTGTGCCCTTCCTGGGTCCATGGAAAGTCAGCCTCTTTCCCTCTGCATCCTGTCCCTGGGTGGACGTCTCTGTCTTGTTGTGTCTCTCTCCCCTCTGTTGCAACTCTGTCTATTGATGGCTGTGGTGTTAAACTCTAGACCATTTGGAGCGGATCGTGGAGATCGCTCGGCTTCGCGCAGTGCAGCGGAAGGCCCGCTTTGCCAAGCTCAAGGTCTGTGTCTTCAAGGAAGAGATGCCCATCACCCCCTATGAGTGTCCACTCCTCAACTCGCTTCGCTTTGAGCGGAGTGAGAGTGACGGACAGCTCTTTGAGCACCATTGTGAAGTGGATGTGTCTTTTGGTCCCTGGGAGGCGGTGGCTGATGTGTATGACCTGTTGCACTGTCTGGTCACAGACCTCTCAGCCCAGGGCCTCACAGTGGACCACCAGTGCATCGGGGTGTGTGACAAGCACCTTGTCAACCACTACTACTGCAAACGGCCCATCTATGAGTTCAAAATCACATGGTGGTGAGTAGGCCTGGTGGATGAGAGTCCGGTGAAGGAGGCTGTCCATCCTCGTGGGTGGCTCTGGGAGTCTGATCCCCAAAGGAGCTGCTGACTGTTCCAGAGCCTGCTGAAGGGAGGATAGAGTGCTAAGGCCCAGGTGCCAGGACACGGGTGCTGCTGCAGTCTCCCTGGCTCGCCCGCCTTCGTTGGGGACTCAGTCTGCTGTCTCCCCGTCTTTTCCTCGAGGCACGGCAGTCTTCATTGGAGGCCACAGGATCTAGTGAGGACGTCACTGGGAGTCCAGAGAGGTTTGAGACCCTCTTGACACCTTGCAGGACAGCTTCTGCCCACTTTAGAGCCGCGTCACTGGTGGAGGTGTCATCACTTCCTCAGCCTGCTGGAACATTCCTGGCTCAGTGTGTCAGTGGGAATAAGGAGTGTGGTAGGTGGTTTACCCAAGTGTCCCCCCTGGAGCCCTTGGCCAAAGAAGGAGTCCTTTTCTTCCAATGACTGCAGCGCCTCGTCTTAGGATGTGGAAAGATATGTCCTGTGCTCCCAGAACATGCCCGTCACCTTCTCTTTGAGATTAATCACAGCTGCCAAAGCCATGTACCAGTTGGGCCTTAGAAAAACCACAATGTTTACAGCCTTGCCCCAGGGCTCTGGCTTTACCTTCCTTGCAGGGTTATCTTCTCCTAGGACTGGAATGTTAAGTTCCAAAGGTTCTTTCTGAAGATTTCCCCAAGTCAGGCAGACACAGAGTCTAGATCTTTCGATATGTAGCATCCTTCTCAGAGGCCGAGAACATGGCTTGCTGTCAAGTCTTGTGGTGTTAGGATCCAATGCGGTGAACCTTCTGGAAGGGACACTCTTTCCTTTGTAGTTTTTGTTCATTGTTCCGGAACGGAAAATAAGTACTGAGGGAGGCACAGCTATCCTAGGAGCTGAAGATGATGGGGGTAGTAAGCTTTCTGTTTCAGCAAGAGAAGCAGTCCACAATAATTTCTTGTTCAGAGTCAGGGTGAAGCATGCATCCCCTAAAGAGAGAGTTGTGTAGCTCTCCTCTGAGAGCATTGCATGTCCAGGCTGCACAGGGAGGAGGGTCTATGTAGTCTTGGGTATCCTTGACCATTCCTGGATAGCATTTTTTTAATTGTAATCTTTTCTTAACGTAAGGAATTGTTAAACGCAGCACCACCATGTTCAGTCCTTATAGGGTCAGAGTGGTTCAGTCAGACACTTGGGGGTTGAAGGCACCCATGTGCTCCAGAGGACTAGAAGGCCAAGCCCTGGGCACTGAGCCAAATTCCTCCATGCAGGTGCAGGACAGTGGCTTTCCAGGGCTCTTGTTGAAACACATGGTTTTGAACTTGTGCTTCACTCTGAGCGTAACAGAGGTAGAGACTGGGGTCCAAGAGGAAGTGAGTAGCAGTCATCTTCCGGGACACCTGTTTTCTTGGTTGTCCTCAATAGGATCTCTGGGGTGTCAATGCCCCTGCATGGTCTTAGCCCAGCACAGTGGCTCTACCTTGTTCTAGCAAAGAAGTTCCTTATTTAAATAGTTTTTATTTTTATTTTTTGGACAGGGTCTCATGTAGCCAAGGTGGGCCTCAAATTAGCTGTATAGCTAAGGACAACCTTATACATCTTGACCTTTCTGCCTCTACCTTCGAAGCTCTGGGGGATATAGGCACATTTCCACCACATCTGGCTCCTTAGTTCATTTTTTTTTCTTTAATGGTCTGTGAAGCACACTATTGAGGATGATGTTCATATGAGTAGAGAGCCTACAATTAAGCCTGGGGATTTTAGTAACTGGGCCTGGAACTCTTTTTGTTCCTGCTGTAGAGTCCCTCGATGCTTGGAAGCCAGGCCCAGACTGCTTGCTCAAGGTTGCTGGAGACACTGCTTTTCCGCCCCCTCCCTTTTTTATCCTCAGGATAGTATGTTTTGTGCCATTGTGGCAAGAGAATGCTCCAGGCCACTGGAGCAGGCAGAGGAGGGAGGAGGGACACTAGATAACCAGCTCAGAACTCTCCCTCCCCTTTCAATTCCTTAATTTTTTTTTAAATAGTTGATGTTTGCAATATTAGCACAAACTGACCATGTGCTGAATCTTCTTGTGTGTGTGTGTGTGTTTTTTTTAAATAACAAATCCATTTGCATTTTTAAGTCAGTGATGTCTGTACTTTCTTGCAGCACAGAAACTTTTCTTTGTACTACAAAATATATTTATTATAATTCTTCCTTGACTAGTGAAACTGAAATATGAAATATTAAATAAAGCAATATATATTGGGATCTGGGATGTGGTTTCATGATAGAACATCACCAACTATGCCCAAGGCCCTGGGTTCCCTCCCCAGCACTACAAAAAAAAAAAAAAAATCATGTCAAAGTGTATCTTTGCTATTTGGATCTCTTCACTTACTTTGTATTCTATTTCTCTTGGAGCTTTTCTTAAATTAATAAAGGAATTCATCAGCCTGTTGGCCCTCTCTAATGAGAAGCTGAGGCCATTCTGAAATATGATGTCGAATGTGGTGGCTAGAGATGGCTTCTAAATAAAGGGGTCATATCTGTGGAAATGACTTTTGTCTGTTCAATCCCTCTCCAGTTGCAATTGCTCAGGCACAGCCCAAAAGACCTGTTAAGGACGGCTTTTCCTTGATCCACAGGAAGTCCACTTTGAAAATGATTTGTGTGTCACATCAATCAATGCCTCTCATCTGCTTCCAGTCAGACCAGTCATTGCTGAGTCTGACCTAAGTAAGTGCCTAGCCTTGTTTCACTCTGGGCACCTTCTTCTCCTGGGTGGCAGGCTCACTGGTTGGGATGAAGAAAGATTTGATAGCACCACATGGTGCACTGTCAGCCACAACAGAAATAGAATACAAAATAGAGTTGTGGCAGAGAAGACTGAGGGAGAGCCACAGTGAAACAAAACGTCCCAATGTGTGGTGGGGAAGTTGACTGTTACTGGTCTAATAGAGGAACCATTACTGTCCATAACCTACATCTGTGTGTTCACCTGGCTGCCCAATACTCCCAGTGCTGAAAGCCGACAGTACTCTGGAACCTCCTATTCTTTTCTCTTGCAGTTTCACTATCTGGGAACTAACTGCCTGAGCTCTGTGTTCCAGGCTGATCAAGTTCTGAGTTGCTCCTTGGAGGACTAACACACACTTGCAGTACAGAGCAAGTGGGGTGGGGTGGGGGGTGTTGTTGTGTGATGATGCTGGGCTTCGTTCTAAGACAGACATCACCCCAAACACTTTTCATACAAAGCATTTTAACCTAGGAAGGATCTCAAGGGTACTTCTCTCTCTCTCTCTCTCTCTCTCTCTCTCTCTCTGTGTGTGTGTGAGAGAGAGAGAGAGAGAGAGAGAGAGAGAGAGAGAGAGAGAGAGAGAGAAAAGAGAAAGAGAAAAGAGAAAGGATTTCTCAGACATTGCTTTGGAGGCTGTCCTGGAACTTGCTCTGTAGGCAAAGCTGGCCTCAAACTCACAGAGACTCGCCTGCCTCTGCCTCCCGAGTGCTGGGATTAAAGGTATGCACCACCAGTGCCCAGCCTCTGCATATTTTTTTTAATAATTTATGTTTTGCATTCCAATTCCAGTTCCCCCTCATTCCTTTCCTCTCACTACCCTCACCCCCCCCCACACCTCCCATCTGCTCCTCGGAGAGGGTAAGGCCTCGCCTATGAAGTCTGTCCCATCATCTCGTTGAGGCAGGACCAAAGCACACCACCCACCCCCACCATGTCTAGGCTGAGCAAGGTATTTCTCCACTAAGTCAGTTTGTGTATCAGAATTAGATCTTGGACCACTGCCAGTGGCTTCAAGCCCCAGCCTTGACATTGTCACCTTTGTTCAGGGAGTCGAATTTGGTCTTACCACTGTTCCCCAGTTGTCAGATGGGATCAGTGATCGCTCACCTTCTGCACATTTTTAACCATATTTGATTGTAATATATAAAGTTAAGCTCTCTTGGGCTTATGTGTAGGCTCTTGCCTGGAGGGGATGTCCATCCCATGATTGTTAAGGAAGGAACAGGAGGAGAGGAGGGAGGGGCAACTATGGTTGGTATGTAAAATGAGTGAAAAAAATGTTTAAAAAAAAAAAAAGAATGGTCGTCAATATGTAGACTAGACTGGCCTCAAACTCCCAAGTGCTAGAATTGAAAGTATATGCACCATGCTTGGCTTTTTAAAGACTTTATGTGTGTGGCTGTTTTGTCTGTACCATGTGTGTACCAACCAAGTGCTCACAGAGGCCAGAAGAGGGCTTCCAATCTCCTGGGACTACAGTTCCAAGTGGTCTTGAGTTGCTATGTGGGTGCTGGGAATCAAGCCTGGGTCTTCTGTCAGCCAATGCTTTTAAACACTGGGGCATCCTTCCAGCCCATTGGGGGAGTTTTGTTTTGTTTTTGAGACAGTCTTACTCTGTAGCTGTGCTTGTCTTTGAACTGGTTCTGCCTCTATTGATAAAAGTAAGGGATTACATGCCAGGCTGATGCTTTTTCTCTTTTGTTTGCTTTTTGTAGTTTGTTTTCAGTGTTAGGGATTGCACCCAGGTCCCTGCATATGCCAAGCAAGTGTTCTTATACCAAGCCATATCCTTCCTTGGGCTGAAACCCTGACCTTTTTTTAAATGTTTATTTATTTATTTTAAGGTTTATTATTTACACAGTGTTCTGTCTGCACGTATGCCTGCAGGCCAGGGGCTCGAAGAGGACACCAGACCTCAGTACAGATGGTTGTGCGCCACCATGTGGTTGCTGGAAATTGAACTCAGGACCTCTGCAAGAGCAGTCAGGGCTCTTAACCTCTGAGCCATCTCTCCAGCCCTTTAATATTTAGTTTTAGGATTTTTTTTTTTTTTTTGAGACAGCGTTTCTCCATGTAATAGGTCTGGCTGTCTTAAACCAGCTCTGTAGACCAGGCTGGCCTTGAATTCACAGAGACCCTCCCGCCTATGCTCTTAAATGCTTACATATGTATAGCCCCAAGTGCTGGGAATAAAGGTATGCATCATTACCGCCTGGCTGAAACCCTGCCTTTTTTTTTTTTTTAACATAATTTCTTTATTGAATCTTTGGGAATTTCACGTCATGCATCCTAATTGTGCTCACCTCTCGGTCCCTCCTTGTGCTTTCCTCATCCCTGCAGTGCCCCCACCCAATTAAAAACGCAAAACAAAACAAGCAAACACACACACACACACACACACACACACACACAGGTGTCCTGGTGGCATTGTGAGCTGAGGTGTGTTGCACAGTATTCCCTTTTGTTCAATCAGCTGTACTTGCAAATGTTCATTGCAATGAGTATGGCTCCAGGCTTCTGGAAACCCTGACTCCCAATTGAAAGGAAACCTTAAACCCAGAACATTAAAGGGCTCCTCAAGTTCTAGCCCTTTTTGTTTGTTTTACTTTATCTCTTTCTCTTTTGGCCTTAACCTTGGAATTCCACTGCTTCAGGCTCCTCAGTTCTGGGGTTACTTGTGGGTTCCGCCTTGACATTAACTGGTTGTCCTTGTGACTGTGAGCCCTGTGTCTGTGAGGTGGAGGAAGGCCTTGTTCCTGGGATAGCGAGTTCAGGATGACCTCCTTGGTGAGTGATAGCTGGCTGGCTGGGCCCTAGGTCCCGGAAAGCCTGCACTAGTGGAGCTGCAGCCCCCTACAGCTACCTGGGCATTTCACAAAGTGAAGGGTATCCATGATATGGCCTCTCTTCCAGGGCCCTGTGGGTAAGAAGAGTTGAGTGCTATGCTCAGTTGCTCTAGGTCTGGCTTCAGCTCATAGCCCTTAGACTCAGGCTTTCTACCTTCCTGTGTGAACAGCTGGCTTTATGAAGGTACCTTCTTTTGGGGGGGGGGTGTTCAAGACAAGGTTTCTCTGTAGTTTTGGAGCCTATCCTGGAACTAGTAGACTAGGCTGGTCTTGAACTCACAGAGATCCGCCTGCCTCTGCCTCCCGAGAGCTGGGATTAAAGGCGCGTGCCACCTCTGCTTGGCACGAAGGTGCCTTCTTTAACTGGATTGACCTTCAGTTCACTTTTGGTTTGTTGTGTTTACAGCAGGATCCCTTAACTTCTTTGTAGCCTTTGTTTTCCTGGTGTGTTCTTTAGCTTTAGCTCTCTCTGCCTCCCTCCTTTTCCTTCCTCCTATTTCCCTTCTCTCTGTTTCTGCTTGGTCGGTTTTTTACTATGTAGTCCAGGCTAGCCTCTCACTTGGAACAATCCTCTTGCCTCTACCTCCTAAATGCCGGGATGACAGGCATGCCCTACCATCCTCTCACGTGACCGCTAAGCAAAGCCCACGTGTGAGTTGGATGCTGATGAAAGTAGTTGTTAACTTGTAACAGGTGCTTCCTCTCCAGTCACCTTTGGAGTGTGTTCTTCTTTACTGGGAGCGTGTGTGCTTTGTGTGCTTCATTTCTTCCCTAGGTGAATGAATACCTGCTTCTAAAAGCCTTATTCCGTTTCCCAGGTACTGGGATTACAAGTATGTGTCATTATACCTTGCTTTATTTTATTATATTTTTGATGACACAGGTTCATGTTGTTCCCTGACTGGCTTGGAACTCATGGCAATCATCATGCCTCAGCCTCCTGAATGCTGGAATTAAAAAGTTATAAGCCATCACACCCCACCATTAATTTACCTTTAGACAGGGTCTCATGTATACCAGGCAGAGCTGGAACTCACTGGGTAGCCAAGGATGATCATTAATTCCTACTCTTGCAGGGCAGTGATGGTGCAGGCCTTTAGAAGGCAGGAGGATCTCTGTGTATTGGAGGCCAGCCTGGTCTACAGAACAAGTTCAGGACAGCCAGGACTGTTGCACAGAAGAAACCTTGTTTCAAAAAACAAAACAAAACAAAGCGCACACACATTCCTAATCTTCCTGCCTCTGCCTCCTTCC